TCAATGAAAAAAGAAAATTCTTTGAAGAAATAGACAAAATTGATAGATCATTAGTCAGATTACCCAGAAATATAAAAGAAAAGATTCAAATAACTTCAATCAAAATTGAAAAAGGAAACATTATAACTGATATTACAGAAATACAAAATAGTATCCATGAACACTATGAAAACCTTCACATAAACAAACTAGAAAAACTAGAGGAAATGGTTAAATTCTTGGAAACACACAACCTCCCAAGCCTGAATCTGGAAGAGATAGAATTCCTGAACTGGCCAATAATAAGCAGTGAGACTAAAGCAATAATAAAACAATCTCCCCAAAAAACAAAAACAAACAAAAAGACCTGCACTGGACAGATTCACAGCCAAATTCTACTGTACCTACAATGAAGAACTGGTACCTATTCTACAGAAAGTATTCCATAACATCAAGCAGGAGGAAATCCTCCCTAACTCATTCTATGGAGCCAGTATCACCCTAATACCAAATCCAGGAAAGGACACAACAACAAAAATAAAGAAAACTACAGACCAGTATCCTTTATTAATATGAATGCAAAGGTCCTCAACAAAATACTAACAAACGGAATTCAACACACTTCAAAAAGATAATCCACCATGATGAAATGGATTTGATCCAAGGGATACAAGGATGGTTTAACATATGAAATCAATAAGTGTGATTCACCACATAAACAGGAACAAAAACAAAAACCATATGATCATCTCAATAGATGTAGAAAAAACGTTTGACAAAATCCAGCACACTATCATGGTAAAAAAAAAAAAAAAAAAAAAAACCTCTCAACAAATGAGGCATAGAAGGAACATAACTCTAAATTATAAAAATCAAATATGAATATGACAAACCAACAACCAAAATTATACTGAATGGGGAAACATTGAAAGCATTCCTCCTCAGAACTGACACAAGACAGGGTGCCCACTGTCACCACTTCTAATCAACACAGTACTGAAAGTCCTAGACAGAACAATCAGCCAAGAGGAAGAAATAAAGGGCATCAAAATTAGAAAAGAGGACCTTAAACAATCCCTGTTGGCTGACAATATAATCTTATATCTAGAAAACTCTAAAGACTCCACCAAAAGATTCCTGGAATAGATAAATAAATTCAACAAAATCTCAGGTTCCAAAATCAATGTACAACAAATCAGTAGCATTTCTATATACTAATAACAGACAAGTGGAGAGTCAAATCAAGGACTCAATACCATCCATAATAGCGACAAAGAAAATACAATACCTAGGAATACAGTTAACCGGGGAGGTGAAAGATCTCTACAAGGAGAACTATAAAACACTGATGAAAGGAATCGTATATGACACAAAGAAATAGAAAAACATCCCATGCTCATGGACTGGAAGAATCAACATTATTAAAATTTCCATAACATCCAAAGTGACTTACAGATTCAGTGCAATCCCCATCAAAATACCAGTATCATATTTCATAGATCTAGAAAAAAATAATACTATACTTCATTTGAAACGAAAAAAGAGCACAAATAGCCAAAGCAATTTTAAGCAAGAAGAACAAATCTGAAGGCATCATATTACTTGATTCAAATTATACCACAAAGCTATAGTAATCAAAATAGCATGGTACTGATAAAAATAGAGACATAAACCAATGGAACAGAACAGAGAACCCAGAAATAAAATCATCAGCCTATAACCAACTGATCTTCAATGAAGAAGGCAACAACATACAATGGGGAAAGGAAGCCCTATTCAATAAACGGTGTTGGGAATATTCGATAGCCATATGCAGAAGAATGAAACCGGACCCCTAGCTCTAGCCATATACAAAAATTATTTCAAGATGGATTAAAGACTTAAATATAATACATAAAATCATAAAAGTTCTAGAGGAAAACATAGGAAAAACTCTTCTAGACATTGTCCTAGGCAAAGAATTTATGACTAAGACCCCAAAGGCAAACATAGCAACAACAAAAATAAATAAATAGGACTTAATTAAATTAAAAAGTTTCTACACAGCAAGGGAAATAATCAACCGAGTGAACAGACAACATACAGAATGTGAGAAAATATTTGCAAGCTATACATCTGACAAAGGATTAATACCCAGAATCTACAAAGAACTCAAACAAATCAGCAAGAAAAAAACAAACAACTACATCAAAAAGTGAGCAAAAGACATGAACAATAGTTTCAAAAAAATAGTTTCAAAAAATAGTTTCAAAAGAAGATAGTCAAATGGCCAACAAACATATGAAAATTGTCAACATCACTAATCATCAGGAAAAACAAATTATAACTACAATGAGATAGCACACTATCCCTATCAGAATGGCCATTATTAAAAAGTGAAAAAAAAGTTTTCCCAGCACCATTAATGGAATAAGGAATCTTTTCCCCAGCATATGTTTTTGTCTGCTTTTTAAAAGATTAGATAGCTATATGAGGATGGTTTTATATCTGGGTTCTCTGTTCTGTTCCACTGGTCAATGTCCCTGTTCTTGTGCCAGTTCCAAGATGCTTTAATTGCTATAGTCTTGTAGTATAGCTTGAAGTCTGGTAAATTGATACATCCCATTTTGTTTTTATTGCCTAGGATTGCTTTTGCTATACAGGGTCTATTCTTGTTCCATATGAAGTGTAAAATTATTTGACAAAGCAGACAAAAACATATGCTGTGGAAAAGAATCCTTATTCAATAAATGGTTCTGGGAAAACTGGATAGCCACATGTAGAAGACTGAAACAGGACCCACCACCTTCACCCTCTCAAAAATCAACTCACGCTGGGTAACAGACTTGAACCTTAGGTGTGAAACTATTAGAATTCTAGAGGAAGACATTGGAAATATTCTTCTAGACATTGACTTAGGCAAAGAATTTATGAAGAAGACCCCAAAGGCAATCACAGCAACAACAAAAATAAATAAATGGGACCTGATCAAATTAAATAGCTTCTTCACAGCCAAAGAAACTGTTATGAGAGCAAACAGATTTTCTCCTACAGAATAGGAGAAAATTTTCACAAGCTACACATCTGATAAAGGGCTGATAACTATAATCTATTTAGAAGTCAGGAAAATCGCAAGAAAAAAATCAAACAACCCTATCAAAAAGTGGGCAAAGGACATGAACAGAAACTTTTCAAAAGAACACAGAATAATGGCCAAAAAACACATGGAAAAATGCTCAACCTCTCTAATCATTATGGAAATGCAAATCAAAACCACAATGAGATATCACTTATCTCCAGTGAAAATGGCCTTTATCAAAAAGTCCCAAAACAATAAATGTTGGTGTGGATGCAGAGAGATAGGAACACTCCTACACTGCTGGTGGGACTGCAAACTAGTTCAACCTTTCCACTGTTGTGGAAAGCAATATGGAGATAACTTAAAGCAATACAAGTCTATTTACCATTTGATTCAGCAATCCCATTACTTGGCATCTACCCAAAAGAACAAAAGAGACTCTATAAAAAAGACATCTGCACTTGAATGTTTATAGCAGCACAATTCACAATTGCAAAGATGTGGAAACAACCCAAGTGCCTATCAATACATGAGTGGATTAATAAAATGTGGTATATGTATACCATGGAGTACTATTCAGCTATAAGAAACAATGGTGATATAGCACCTCTTGTATATTCCTGGATAGAGCTGGAACCCATTATATTAAGTGAAGTATCCCAAGAATGGAAAAATAAGCACCACATGTACTCACCAGCAAATTGGTATTAACTGATCAACATCTAAGTGGACATATAGGAATAACATTTATCAGTCATCAGGCAGATGGAAGGGGGGTGGAGGGGATGGGTACATAAATAATGAGTGTGATGCACACCATCTGGGGGATGGACACGCTTGAAGCTCTGACTCTGGGGGGAAAGGGGAGGGAAGGCAACATATGTAACCTAAACATTTGTAACCGATAATATGCTGAAATTTATAAAAACGTCAAAAAACAATAGATGCTGGTGTGTATACAGAGGAAAAGGAACACTTTTAGGCTATTGGTGGGACTGTAAATTAGTGCAACCTCTATGGAAAACAGTATGGAGATTCCTCAAAGAAATAAATGTAGAGCTACAATTCAATCCAACAATCCCACTGCTGGGTATCTACCAAAAGGAAATGAAGTCATTTTGTCAAAAAGACACCTGCACTCAAATGTTTATTGCAGCATAATTCATGATTGTAGAGGTGTGTACTCAACCTATCTGCCCATTAATGCATGAATGGATAAAGAAAATGTGATAGATAGATAGATAGATAGATAGATAGATAGATAGATAGATAGATAGATGATAGATAGATAGATAGATAGATAACCATACAGTATTATACTACCCAGCCATTAAAAGGAATGAAATAATGTCATTTGCAGCAAAATGGATGGAACTGGAGACCATTATCCTAAGTATGTCAGGAATGGAAAAGCAAACACCATATGTTCTCACTAATAAGTGGGAGCTAATAGATGGATATACACAGGTACAAGTTGAGATAAAGGACATGAGACACCAAGAAAGGGTGGGAGAGAGTGGAATACAATGAGCACTATTCTGATGATGGTCACACCAAAAGCTCTGACTTAAGCATTATGCTAGGTATCCATATCAGAAGAACATTTGTATCCCCTTAATATTTTGAAATTTAAAAATAACAAAAATTTTTTAAAGAATTTGACTTTTAAAATCTAGTAAAAAAATGACACATTAGAAAGTAGAGTTTTTATTTTTATCTTAAAACAAGCTCAGTTTAGACGTGCCTGTTTACAAACTTTCTTCATTTAATTGGTTTTCCTAATATGAAATAGTATTTCCAGAACTAATTAAAATTTTGTTCTAATGAATATTCAAGACCAAAATATGTTATCTTCACAGTACAGTATATAGATTTTTAAATCATCCATAAAGGTAATTATATTTTTTACATTCTTAAAAAGTCATATATTGTTATTGATGCCAAATGGGTTGTTTCCTCTCAGGCCATGATTGAAGAAGCCATCACCAGAGCTGAATCTTTCTCAGTTATGTACACACCATTTGCAACAAAAATAAGAGCTGATAAAATAGAAAAAGTAAAAGAAGTTTTCACAAAAACTCACCCTGCATATGCTGAGTACATCTACACCGGTAAGATTTAATATCTTCAAGTTATCAGCTGATACTTTATTTCTACTAAAACAAATATAGGGACTTTCTGGGTTTTTTTATTGTTTCTGTTTTTAAAAGTATGCTGTTTTAAGTTGATGAGTTGAAATGGGAAGTTATTTGTAAGGTTTTAAGTAGGGCTAGCATTATAGGTCTAGCACAATATTTGTTGTACCTTCATGTTTCTATATTTTAAGAGAAGGGGGTAAACCCTAGAAACTCTGAGGCTTAAGAAATGAAGGAATGACCTTTGGTAAAATGTTGCCTTCCCCTATATCTTTCATCAGTAAAATAAGTGATTATAGTATTTTCCTGATGATGGATTTTTTTCTCAATGCCTTCTATTTCTACCTTTCTGCCACCATCTCACACTTCAAATCTCCCTCTTTCCTTATGTTCTTAAATTGCTGGTATCTAAATGAAATCTGGATAGCCAAGGGTCTCATAGATGAAATGACACTGGTATTATCCTTTTTTCTCTTTTTGTCTTTGGAAGTCATTTGCTTTTATTCATTCATTCAAAAAATATGTTTTACTATCCACTACATGTCAAGTGTTATTTTGGATTAAGAGGAGGATATTTTGTTCTTAATAGCCACTCAACAATAACTACCATGTTAAGCAAAATTTCTAAATGCACACACCTTATATCACATCCTCCTATTAAGTCCTCTTCATTGCTTTTTTGGAGCTTTGGGGATGAGGCACTGGTTTATAAAATTAATGTACTCCATTATTGATCACTTTTTTTCAGCATATAATGGATGTACAAATGTTTAGGCTACATGTGTTGCCTTTCACCCCTTCCCCCACCACCACCCCCCTCTGCCACCCAGAGTCAGAGCTTCAAGCGTGTCCATCTCCCAGATGGTGCGCATCACACTCACTATGTATGTATATACCCATCCCCTCCTCTCCCCTCCCATCTGCTGATGCCGGATAAATGTTACTCCTATATGTCCACTTAGGTGTTGATCACTTTTAAAGTACTAAACACTCTACATTCATTATCTCTTGTCCTTCTCATAATTAAGAAGTAAGGTGATTCCCATTTAGGAACAAGAAAACAATAACCAGAGAAGATAAATACCTTTGCCCAAAATTCACAGTAAATTAGTGGTGGCAGGATTTGAATTCATGAACTTATCATTGAGCTACACTATTTCCATTACACTTAGGTCCTGTGGATTCCTTATTTTTCTCCACAATGCCTCAAGCTCTTCAGAGGAAAGATATTAAGTAAATCCAGCTAGCGATGATCGAATAGTAAATCCCTAAGGGACAATGGAAATTCAAGGGCAGAGAAAGTGAGAAGAAAGAGCAATACATGCTGTAAGGATCATTCATGATGATTTGCTTAGTTTGGGCATTTCATAAGGAAGTAGGTAAAAATATCTCAGAACTCACACTTTTTGCTAATTATTATAAATTGTTCATTATTTTTATGGATATTTAAGGGAATGTTTTTTTGGGGTGGCACTTGTAGCATGTAAAAGTCATACATACCTATTTAGCATCATGGAAAAATGAGCAGATTCAGCTGCTTCCATTTCTGTTCTTAGACCCATTGGTAATGAAGAGAGAGTTACTGACGAGGTCACCAGTTGGCCAATTCTTCTTCTGGTGGAATAAGTTTAGTTACATTTTACCTACTTCATAGAGAAGTCAGGAAGATTAATTCTTAGGAAGCACTATTATGCCACTGAGAGTTTAAAAACAATAATAACATTAATGAACCAGACTCATGTCCCATGTAACTGCATCAAATCTGTTATCAAGATAAATTATGATCTGTTGGCAAGACAATTCATGCTAAAGGATCTTATACTTTAGAATAGAAGATAATTATGTTACTCATGATTGTTTCCATTATTTTATAATTACTAATTTCTAGAGAGTGACAGTGTTACATGAAAACCTAGAGAGGAAAGACAGGACTTCTGGAAGTGAACTGGTGAGGTAGAGAAAGGAATCTAGAATTTAAATTTAGTTGAGACTGATATGGTTCTTTGCTCTGTGGAACTTGTGCTTTGGGATAACAAGGCTGTTGCATTGGTGACACTATTTGCCTTTGTTGCAAGTGATTAAAAGGTTGTACCCAAAGCCATTGTTAAGATATCGGTGAAATAACTATTGGTAGTTGTATGTGCACACCTGTAGAGGTATAGTTTCTTTTTCCCCCAGGCAATTCCAAGGTGAGTGAGGGCAGAGAACATGGGAAGAGGGGGAAGATCAGGTGTTAATTTTAGCATCTAGACTTCTCTACCAGCAGGTGCAGAGAGGTGATTAGAGCAGGCATAAGTAGCCAAGGTCATAGCAAGAAAGTGAGTAACACAAAGAGAGATACGGCCTGGAAGAGTAGCTACTTTGTTTTCTTGGCACTTCCCAGAAAGCAGATTCCTCCTTTTATCAGCCTTGTAGATAGAATTTAAGAAGCTTCTATCCTGTCAAAAAAAAGTATTCAATTACTTATTTCAACTAATATTCACGCAACCAGTGTAACTGGACAACCACATGGCAGATGTGTGCAAACATAAGACTCTATACTTTTTACCTACCTATTTTCTTTGTTCTGCCCAGAGCCAGAAACATTCTGTCCAATTGCAGGGCAGTTAGTACCATCCAATCATTTCTGAAACATATTTTTTCATCACAAACTATCTAATCACATTGACCAGTTTCCTTATGCTTTTCATGGGTTTTTCCTCTTCTTGTGATCTGATTTCAACTTTCATAGAGCTCGAGCATACCCAGTGTCCAAAGCAGTCAGTGCACATATGAGGCAGGAGTTCTCTTTTCATTCTGGAGCAGGAGGTACAGTTGCTGATCCCATGGCTAGTGCCACTTGCGATAAGTTCTAGTGGCTTGAGCAGGACCTGATGGGCTCATTTACGTGGCACATTACATGAACCAAGGCACCTATGGGGGTTCCCCATGCTATCTCTTGCTTAGCTTCTTCTCCACGTGTACACCAATCACCCCCACACCCCAGTTGGCCCAACCTAGAGCCAGTCTTGGAGATTCCCTCTTCCTGCTGGAATGCTGACTATAAACCCAGCCATTTGATGAGTTTTACTCTAGAAATCCCCTCCACTCCCCCAGAAGACTGGAAGTAGTTGCAGCCTCTTCTCCAGTTTGCTATGTCACACTGCCATTTCTCCCTTTCTCCGTGCTTCAGCATCTCAGGATCCTTAGAACAAGAAAAGGATCTACAATGGAGATGGGTGCTTTGTTCATCTATTCATTTATTCAGCAATCATTTATTGAGCAGATGTATTCTGAACACTATGCTAGGTGATGCTGAGAATACACCTGCTCCTAAGGAAGCATCTGATTTTTGTAACTTATATATCACGGTGAATGTTGGGCTATATTTTTCTTCTCTCCTAGAGAATATTTTCAACTAAAACCAAAGCTCTAATTGTGGAATGGAAGGCTGACTCAAATTTAAGGAATGATGGAGGAAACAACAGATGAAGGGCAGTTTGGAAATAGAGGTTCTTACCACTGAATGGAGCAAAGACTTGTTAGTTGTTTACCAAACCTCTTCTCTTTTTCCCTCAGCCACATACCTAGAATCCACTTCCAGCCTACCTTACAGTTAGGAAAGGTTCTGTGACTGAGTGTAATGGCCAGTGGAATGTGGACAGAAATAATATATGCCATTTCCAGACCTAACCTATAAAACCCATCCATGCAGAACTCTTTTTTCCCCATCCACTGGCTGAGAGGACCATGGACTAAAGGAGTCACAAGACAAAAGAAGCTGGATTCCTGAATGACCATGTGTAAGGTCACCCACTAAATACCCACATGAACAAAAACCATAACTCTCTTGCTGTAGACCACTGAGATTTAAGAGTTCTTCATTAAATCTGGTGTCTTTCTTCTAATACATTTAGCTGCCTTATATCATAACAAGTAGGCAGCTTCTTACTTCATCTACAGTGTGAACAAATTTTTGCTAACTCCATGATTGGATAAACACTCCTCTGTATACAATCAACTTCATCCTCAAAATCACTCAGAGTTTGTAGATATGTGTATATTCTACCTCACACTCACTCACCCTTCTACAGATAACTATCAGTAGATGCTCTCATAAGCATGTGCTCATACCACCCACAGAAAGATACTATTTCAGGAAAGATACTGATGCTCCATGGGAGAGAAAACACAATTATGAAGTTTTCACTGCAGCAAGAGAAATGGAGGCTAAAATGTCAGAATTTCTAAATTGTAGCATTCATCTAAATAAACAATCAACAGACGAAGGTCATACAATCTGTACCTTGAAGATCTTGGATGAGTAGTATACCTATCAAAGTTTTGCTGGAGAAGTAGTTATTATCATTAAAACTTGGAGACTAACACATTTAATTCTCCCAGTGGAGGCTGGCAAACAAACTTCCAACTCAGAAACTCTGCCCAATTCTAAGTCACCTTCATCAAGCTTACACAGTGTTGAGTTCATTACTTCCTGGTCACGTGATAGTGCAGTGAGCCCAGCAAAAGCTGGCGGAGGTGCTGGTGATGAGCAGGGAGAGTATTCACGATGGAGATCCTCCAGGCAGTGTCTCGTCTCTAGCCAGCCCCCAATTCACAGCACCCTTGTCAGGGATTTCCACATGAAAAACAGATGCAAAGGGGAAAAATTATAAAATTAACTCACTTTGAAAAGTATTCAAGTCTAAATATTTTTAGATTTTTTTATTGAATAAACCAACTAAATTTGAAATTCATTTTACAGTGATTTATCTTAAGAAGACCCATTCACCTTCAGTGGTAGGAGCAGGATTATATTGCCCTTATAATTTCTATAAACCTGAAGAGGGTAGGTTAAAATTCAAATCTGCCTTGTAGGATAATCAGGCTTATACCTGCTCAGGAACTTACTGTGCATCCTTTTCTGCCTCAGGGATATGGTAATACCCACCAAATCTTCAATTCATATTATAATAGCATAATATTATATTATGCTT